TGTTGATTAGAGGAGGAAATATTAGTCTGATGTTTAAAGAGTGTGTCTAGTACGCTTAGCTTTATCATTTTATCAAGGTTTCAAAATAGCCCACAGTTACTTGCTCCTGACGGGTTAACTATGAGGTAAAGCATGTGTGCAGCTAAATAAAGGTATTGTTGTTAATTTCAAGAACAAGGTAGGTAAAAGGCTAATGTTAAAATTATACAAGCTAATCAAAATATTCTTCATATCGTTAGATGGTGAAAGGCAGTGGAGCTTTGCATAATAGTCACCATATTAAACTATATTAAGAAGTACATGGCAAGTATAGCGACATCAATCTAAATCACCCGCTGGATAATAAAGAACAGCTTCTCTCCTCTCTCTGTAGAAAACTCAGGCTGGGATTTCACCCAGTGCAGAGGGATGGAACAGAAAAACTCAGAAACTTTCCAAAGTCCTGAATAGAATAAGTGCCCAAATAAGTATCTGTCTTGGACATTCCATTTCTCTAACAGTTAATCCTCAACCTAAATAATGGATATATTTACCAAGGGGATCTAAGACTACAGTGTTAGTGAGATTCCAGTACTGTAAATGTAAAACTCTGCTGGGCTGCCAAAACTTAAGCCATCAAGTTTTGCTGATTAATACAGGCATATTCTGCAGAGTTAATCTGAGAAAGGAGGACTAGAAGGGATCTGAGGAGGTCATTCAGGGTGTCCTACAACCCAAAGGCTAGATCAGCTATACATAAATCAGTCGATATGTGTCTATTCTGTCTTTAAGAGCCTCCAGGGCTGGATTTTTACACTCCTCTTAGGCAGTATGTTCCAGAATTTTCCTGTCTTGGGAGACAGAAAGTGTTTCCCAATCCATAATCTCAGTTTGTCTTGCTGTAATTCAGATCACTGTGTTTCGTAAATTTGCCACAATGGACATGGAAAACAATTTAATTTCATTCTTCTTTGCAGGTAACTTTTATGTTTTTAAATCATAAAATCATATCATAGAATGGTTTAGGTTCGAAGAGGTCTTAAAGATCATCTGCTCCCAGCCTCCCCGTCAAGGACAGGGACACCTCCCACCAGACCAGGTTGCTCAAAGCCCTGTCCAACCTGGCCTTGAACACTTCTAGGGAGGGGGCATCTAAAGTTGAATTGTCATGTCTCTCCTCAGTCCTTTTTCCTTCACCATCATGAAAGTTGTATTACAAAACTACTTCATTTCAGAGCATCTGTAGCTTTTGGTGGTGGAGGATCCTTTCAATAGCCATGGATCCCTTCATAGTGGAGTTTTGCTATGATCATGTAGTCACTGCATATAGCCTCTGAAGGGCCAGTAATTTATCTGATCACATGCATCAACCAGTTTCTGTTAATCTAAGGAAATATTATTGAATTGTACTTTTTCTTGGGTGATAACCAAGGTAGCAGGACCCACCAACTGCACTACTTGAATGCGCTCACTATGAGTTCTAGTGGTTAAGAGAGTCATGCCAGGTCTCATGGTTCTTTTCCTGGTAAGACAAAAGCTTTCTTACTGGTGAAAATTATTTAGCACATGACCTTCAGCTGATTGCTTTCACTCTCTCTCCAACTCAGATTGCCCACTGGTAAAATCAGGCAGACGGCATGAAGTCAAGGTGACTGACAGATGAAATGTGCTTCCTGAGAGCAAATAAGTCATGTCCTATATATGTTTACTCTCACTGGGACTGCAGTGACCTCTCTTATTGCTAGGGCCTTCTTGGAATAATAATCTAGTACCCGAATTTTGAGAAAAACTAGGAAGTAATAGCGCATTATACCATAGACAAAATTCATAGATGAAATCCATCTCCCTTCAAAGCAGCTGCATACACACATAAATATATATATATACACACACACACACGTAGAGAAGTTAAGAAGGAGTCAATCCAGTTCTAATACATGGCTCTGAAACAAGAGCAATTAACACACCAGTCTACAATTCAATTGCTTATTTATCAAATTAGTATTACTTGTTCAGAAAAGCGTACTTCCCAGAATTCTTGTGAAAAGTTAAATCTACCAGTTTGTGTATAATTTAAGAGTCAAGCAACACTTGCATTGTGCTGTTTGCAGAACCAGGAAAAAGTGGAGGCTGAAGTAGTGTTTAATCATCAGTGTTTTCATTAATTCCTTGACAGTCATTCCTAAATGTCTTAGTTTCAAAACTTTTCTATTATTGTAGCTAAATGCTGATCACACCACCACATAGCTTTCCAAAATTATCTATTTCCAGGTTTGCTGTTAATGGCTCAGCTAGGGTCATTATAGCTTTCAAATAATTGATCAGGGTGCAGTGATTTTTCTAGAACCAGACCTGAACACAGGGCGCTTCCATCAGTCAGGGTTGCTATGAGGAAATTCTCTACTCTTTTGTGTTGCTGCCCTTTAATATAAAAGAGCTTTGAAAATGCTTGCTGCAGCTGCTGAAAATGGCCTGCTGACATTTTTTTCAAATGGCACTTGAAAAATAGATTATCATGAAAGACAAATATAAGCTTACCATTTTGCCTTAAGGAATACATACCTCTTGAAGCAGTTTACAAAGATTAGCCATTTTTCAGCACTTGGCTTTTTTACCTTTTTCTCTACTTGGTGTCTTAGCCTTTACTGTATGTACTTATATTCATTTCATGTGCAATATAGATTACAGAAGTGTAACTCATTTATCTGCATTGGTTCCCAGTTTTCTTCTCTCTCAGCTCATTCTATTTGTCCTTAGGGAATTTCACAAAATTTGTCAGTAATCTTCCTTGGGTTTGTTTTATTTAGCTGTTTGTTTGTCTGTTTTATTGAAAACTATACTATAGCATTTACTCTGTCCATATTTAATTTGCCTAAAAACATTTAAATCTGGTAGAGGAGTGTCCTGCAGATTTTCATTTGTTGGAAGTATGAGACGAAGGCAAACCAACTGATCTGGAAACATTCAGCACTGCTTATGCAACATTCACACATATGAAAAAATGGGAGCTCTTGAGCCACTTCACAAGATCTACTGGGATTTAAGAGCTAAAAATAATTTATATTTTAAAGAAGTTTCAGAAAAAAAATTAAGAAATTTATCAGTATGAGCTCCAAAAAGTTCCTTGTTGTATATAATGATATATTATAACATATATATTATATGTTATATATATAACAATTACACTTGTTTTGTAAAGTCACAAAGTCTCTTTTTTTCATAAACTGAAGGGAAAACATTAGCAATTATTATTTAAAAAATTAATCCTGGAAAGGTTTGCAATTGTGCATGTGGGAGATTTTGGAGCATCTTCCTCATCTTGGCAGCAGTTATAAACTTAAATCAACTTTTCCTAAAGCTTTACAAGAATTTGACAGCTATTTAACAGTTTATTCCCTAGAATCACATGAATTATCACTGTATCTTATATCAAAGAGTATGTAACACTCACAAGAGATAGTTTCAGGTGCTTTCATTGAAGTCTTGCACATGGAGTAAAGTGCAGGCATCATGAAAGTGATACTATGAATCCTGTAATTTAAAACCTCCATTTTAACCTTAAGGGCTAGCACGTTGCTCAGCTCCAAGGTAATAGGTAGTGCTAGTGCTAGCTGGTACTACCCCAAAACACTGCCAGGAAAAAAGTCTGTTATTCTGGACTCACAGGATCTTTCCTGACTCCTATTGCCCTAGTAAGGGGGAAAGAAGAGTCTCTCTAGATAGCTGACATCATCTCAGCATTTTACTTTCTCTTCTGAGCCAGCTCAGGGCCTAGTTGACACACCTTTGACTTTCTCGTGAGCTAAGGAGACTCAGACCCCTATAGCAAGCACCAGGCCTGCACTATCATCTAGATAAACAGCAGTATCTGCTGTGGCACATAAGAGCTATTAACCCAAGAAGCTATGAAGTGCTTTTGCATAGTTTTGAGACCCGAGCCATGGCCTCTACATTGCTATGAAATGGGAAACATGCCTAGAATCATAGTCCTCCCCACTAAGGCATCTTGACAGCCATAACTGACTCAGCTGCTTTCACAGCCCAGGGAATCTGAAACCCCTCCAGTGTAAAAGGTCGCTCTTCTCACAGATGTGACATTCAGGCTTGAGTGTCACCTTCCATTTGACAAACTATTCAAATCCAACTCCAGTTCCTAACATAAGAATTCTCTCCTGAATCTCCACTCTTTGATTACTTGAGCCAGACACAGAGGTGCAAAGGTGTTTTCTCAGCTGGATAACTGCTGAATGCCTGCTTTGCTTTTAAAATGCCATACATTCTTTTCTAAAGCCCCATTCGCTAAATTTAGTTGATCAATTGCATGTTTTTAGTACTAAAAGTACATGAAATGGATTTCCTAGTATGAATTTTTCATTTGGGCAGCCTCTTTAGGGAAATTATTTGGTTGTGAATGGAAGAGGAAGTATTCATAAAATAGCCTCTTTGGGTTGCACAATTTTTATGAATGCCTGAGATATGGGAAGTACAACAATTAACTTCAGGTTTCAAGAGGTTTGTACTATCATAATAATCTAGATAAATGGAGTGATGTTCAGGAGCTGCCAAAGAATGTATTCGAAGTTGTAAGGTACATCTGAACACACTCCTGGGAACAGCTAGATGCCAGAAATTACATCTGAAAGCTCGTTGAAGAAGGCACAACCTTATTCCATGTGTGCATTGTGCAGCAGCTTGGACAATGGAGGTTTGATCTTTCATTGGGATCAACAGATGTTAATGCAACAGATATGTACAAATAAACACAAAGACTACTTTTTATTTTTTAATTCTACATTAATTACGTGATCCTTTAGCTTTCAGATGGGGGAAAGCATTTCCTTATTAGCTTTAAAAATAACAAAAATGACAATTTATTGCCAAAAGACCAAAACCTAAAGCAACGTGCATTTAAGATATTTAATAAACAGATTTTAGCAGTGATCTGATAGGATATTTACCCTTCCTAAAGGCAGGCAAACCAATTATGTCAGATATTGTCTCTGCTTGTTTTTTCTTGACAGGATCTCTGTTTTCGGCTCTGAAGCCCCCTGAAACCATCTTCAAGGTGATTTTTTGGCTTGGCTACTTTAACAGCTGCTTGAATCCAATCATCTACCCTTGCTCAAGCAAAGAGTTCAAGAGGGCTTTTATACAGATCCTAAAATGCCAGTGCCACCGTCGAAAGCAGTTGGGGTGGTGGGCCTACAGCTACAGAAACTGGAATCGGTGCTCCTTTGAACACCCTAGGAAGGACTCTCTGGAAGACAGTGGGAGCTTCCTAAGCGGCAGTCAGAGGACATTATCTTCAGCATCTCCCAGCCCCGGCTACCTGAGCAAAATCACTCACCCACATATGGAGATGTGCACATTCCAGGAATGGAAAAACTCCAGCCCTTTCCTGAGTCCCTTACAGGAAGGCAGCAGACAAAAGGACCCCTGTGAGTTCTTTACCTTCAATCTATTAACAGAGCGCAATGGACACGTTCCTGCTGGCAGTCAAGCTTCCAGCAATGGAGACCATGAGGTCATCTGTGACACATTGAATGGCAGAACTTACTGTAAAGCAAACATAATGCTGGAATGAACAGATTCTGGACTGTCTGTTGTCTTTGTACACTAACCTGTTTGATGTTTAGTTCAGGTGAAGAAACGGACCTTTGCACAGTTTTCAGTGTAGCACTGGAAGGAAGCCAGTGAGGAACAGGCAGATTTATGTCAGAAGGGTGGCAAAGTGTATGGGCTAACCATATCACCAGCCAATTGCCAGAGAGGCTACCAAAACAAGAATAGAATGCAGGGAAGGCATCACATAAACCCAGGGAAGTGCACATCCAATTTTTTAGCTGTCGTGAAAGTGCTGTGGAACAGCCAAGCACATATGTATATACAAAGAATGTATAAATATGGGGTTGGGTAAGGGAAATGCATATGAATGTGTGTGTGTACATGTGTGCTAGCCGCATGTATGGATGCCTGAGCGGAAATGAGCAAAGCAATGTTGTTTGTACCTCTGCAGGGTACTGGTTGCCGCTAATTTTGCCTTTAAATTCTTATTGCTGTCATACTTCACTGTACATTAGCACTTTAGAGATGGAAAACAATGTCAAAGATTAAAGTAATTTTGCAACAGTTTAAACACTTGCACCTATTACTATAGGACTGGAATTCAGCCAAGTTCTCTCATCATGATTTTCACTGCAAAATAAAACACTCATAGAGGTTAAGTTTGCCACTGTAACTCCTAGGATGCTCTTGAGTCTCTCTGCAGTTGCTTCCCTTCCAGGATGCCCTTATCACAAACACATGCAACTCCTCTATTCTTCACCATTCTCTTTTTTGAAAGTTTGAAAATACCAGCAATGATGAGAGCTCACAATCTACATTTTAGCACGTTAGTAAGTGTCCTGTAAACATACAGGCTACCAGAAGATCTGATTTCTAAAAGCAACGCTCATAAATCACTCTAAATACCTCATAAACAGTGTCATGGACACAGCACAGAAGAGCACTGACTGCTGGAGGTCCAAAACCCAGCCGTAAGACAAATATGCTGAACCCTTGGTTCCTTCAGCACACTTTGAAAATATTTTTGCACATTTAGAGGCTTTTACTTTGCCACTCAGAAAAGAAAAGAAAGAGTCAAAACAACGGGGTAGTGTGAGTTTCACTGTCATTAATATGTTTCCGCTCAATAGTATAGTACCATAACAAAATTCCTGACAGTATCTTCTAGGACATTTTAGGTCATGCTTGGAAGTTATTTTCATCTCTTGCAATTAAGTGTGAATCATGAAACTAATGAGTGATATTTTTACATGAAGTGGTACAAACTGTGAAAATTGATATTTACTCCTTCCTCCAACTGAGACTTTCCTTATTAGGAATTTTAGTGACATTTTTTTAAAGCTTGAAACAGAGAAGAAACCATAAACATATGTACTAAAAAAACTTACAGACAATTTAGCAATGCTAGGTCCCACGGGAGAACCATTTCCTTTTGTTAGCTTAAATGTGTATTCTCTCATTAAGTTGACAGGGATGGATGTGGCTTGTGGTTAGATGAAATACCCTCAGCTCAGTGAGCAATGACAAGAAAGTCATATTCCAAGGTCTTCCCATGGGCCTACATTGTAGTAAGAACCACATAAGTATATTTTAAGTCTTATCCTGATTGAAGTTACGGCCAATCTCCTATTTTAATAATTCCATTTTGATTGTGGGGAGGGCAGTAATTTCCTCATAGAAGGACAGCTCTTAAAAATTTTTAAAGTATTATAAAACAGATAAACAAAGTCTTGTTGCTCATATATTGAGGGTGCCATAAAGAATATTCTATCTAGCTGTGATGTACTAGTATGAAGCTAACTTTTTTGGACCTCGACATGGCAGAGAACTGTATTTCTAACCTATCGTTATAATTTTTGGAGGGAACCTACAGTAGTCTGTCAAATACTTTGGGGTTTTGTAGAGCTTCTTCAAAATCACTGTTAATTGGAAATAAATTTGTTTCATCTAACCACCTGGCAGTACACTTCAGCTAAATTTTGAGTCACACATGACTCAAAGTGTAAAGTAAATCCAAGTAATGTTACCCATATTTGAGAATTTCTAAGTGATACTGCAGAGTTTCAGAATAAATAGCATTCAATTACTCTAAAGCCTTTAACTATGTAGCTCTCAGATACTGATTATTCTTTTAATTAATTTCTAGTCTTAACAAAGTCTGTGTGATCTCTGATTATCATTTAAGCTCCTTAAACAATGACATAATTCTCTCTAATTACCTATGAAATCAGGCTTTTATCCCATACTGAAGTGACCTATGAGTACTTACAATCTCTGTACATTTTTACATATAATGTTAGAAAAACTGCAAGGAAAGTTCCCTTACTGCTTTTTTTTAAATCTATAAAAATATAATTTTAGCCTATTTAGTACTCAAAAAACAGCTTTCTCTAAACACTTCAACTGATCAGGAGAAGAAATGCGTTAATATCATGCTAGTCCATGCCATTTAGAATATCCATTGCCTCTAACCTTATGAATCACATACCAAAATCCTCAGAGAGCCAAAATCCCCAAGACACATGTCCCACAGGCCTTAAAAAAGTGAAGAGAAGGCATTCCACAGACAGTCAGTAATATTTTTCCCCAAGAGTTACATTGCTCTTCTGTAAGCTTGAGCTGGGAAGGCTGCTGGACTCTGCAGGGACAGCAACACGGCCTCATCCACTCCTGGCTTGCTTTCTCCCACAGCCAGCCACAGCACTGCTGCTCTTCGCGTGTCCTACCTAGCATGGGAGGCATATTTGAGCTGCATGGAAAACATACGTGGCTCAGCGGCAACAAGACCTCTATCCTGTAGTGCTTTCCTTCCTTGAGCCCTGCAAGGGCAACCTCCCTGGGGATGTGACTAGGTTATGCTGCCTTGTCAAGAAAACAGGAAACTAAGAGAAGCCTGTTTCAGGATTTCTGATGCTAAGGAAACCAAAAACGGGGGGGGGGGAGAAATTCACCATGTTGAAGCTGGAAAACAAGAAGTTGGAAATAATCACAGGCAATCAAAACAAATACACCCTGCCATTTCTAAGACAGAAATTAACACCAGGCCCATTTTTCTTAGCATATTCATGAGGCTGCATCCTAAGGGATCATCTCATACAATTCCTAGCATCACACAGGTAAAGGAATGACAAACTGTAGGCTCCAGCACAGCAACAAGGGATAACAGAAAGTAGTGAGAATAAGTTTGGTTAATACCTCATATATACTTCAGATATCATTTAACAAACTGGGTCGCTTCTTAATCACTACCCAATTAGATTTTGAGACTGGAACACCTATAACTTGTAACTGTAACAAACAGATAAAAGGAAGCAATTCTTTACTGTGAGGGTGGTGAGACACTGTCACAGGATGTCCAGGGAAGCTGTGGATGCCCCCTCCCTGGAGGTGTTCAAGGCCAGGTTGGACAGGGCTTTGGGCAACCTGGTCTGGTGGGAAGTGTCCCTGCCCATGCCAGGCGGGTTGGAACCAGATGATCTTTAAGGTCCCCTCCAACTCAAACCATTCTGTGATTCTATGATACTATGGCTTTCCAAAAACAAATAGATGACAGCTCTTCTAAGCTTTTTACTTTTCCTCTAATGAATTCCCATTTTTGTAGGGTCCCATACAGTTTGTTCTTACACTAAGCAACACTGTACCAGGGGGAACCCATTCATGCAAGTATGTTGAACTATGTAAGACTTCAAGAGTCATGTCACATCTGCTCATAAGGTGCCAAACACACCTACCTCATCCCCAGCCACAGCTTCAATGAAGCAATAAAACTGATTGCAAAAAATGAAAAAAAATACATGGGTCTGAGGAAAGGCACAAAAATTACAGAGGAGAAAGTCTGATATGCCACCTTAAAATATGAAACCCTTGCAAGGCCATCTGACTTCTGTAGAACAAATCTATTTTAAATGTTGGTTTTTGGTGGGTTTTTCTGTTTGTTTTTTTTGTTTTGTTTTTTTTTTTGTTTTGGTTTGTTTTGGTTTTGTTGTGGTTTCCCCCCCCCCCACTGGATTCTCCTACAACCTCCATCAGGCAAAGGCAACCCAAATGAGGCCATACAAATCACCCTCTTCCCTTTGTTAGTCCTTCATTTGTTGCAATGTTTTCCTTTAAAGGAAAAACTATTTGGGCCAGGGCATCATCAGCAAATGTTGTGGGACAAGGTTTAGCCCATTTTTTAAGTACAGCCAAAACTATTTTGACAAGCAGAGCATCCACAATCTAGTGAAATGGCAATTGGCACATGATGATGGTCTATCAGATGCAACTGTACTTCATCATGCATATTTTTTATGCATACTAACAGACCTTCTGATGAACCCATTTTGTGGGCAAATAGATTTGCCTCCAAAAATGAGTTGCTGCCATTTAGCACAGAAGGTGTTCACAAAACACTGTGAGTTTCTCCAGGTTAAGCTACTGTAGGAAGCTCAATCACTACTGGAGGGGCTTGTACAAAGCCATTCAGTTTAGAGGCACAGCTGTAATGGCTCACAGAGTATTGTTACAGCCCAGCTGCACATAAATTAAACCCATTAGGCTTCAACGCACTCAGCTATCACAAAAATGCTTCTTATTTTTGCTAAGAGTTATGGTGAAATCAATCCAACCAAATGAGACTGAAACTCTAGAGCATTGTTCACTCTTTACTCTTTCGAAAGGCAGTTTTCTATTATCTTTCCAAATGTGACAGGGAGAGAAGAGAGACATTAATATTATAAAGTACAGGTTTAGCTTGGAAAATGTAAAAAAAGCAACTCTCTATTTAACAGATGTTCCCTCTGCTCTTAGTTTCTGTGCTTGACTTTCACATGATGAAAATGAGCATAAAATTGCACAACACAGGAGATGACAATTTGTAGCAGCTATGGTATGAAAGGATTAGCATACTAACAACTGCTTATTCCTGTTAGTGGCCACAGACTAACGAGCTCATTTGCATGAGAATAAACTGAATTCTGTTTTGATACACTCAACAACAGTTATGCTTACCTTTTTCCAAACCATGCCGGCAATGTTAAG